CAAAATCTGGCCAGGCCAACCCAATACAGTGCCATTCATCTGCTACAGAACTTGGTAACATCTATAACACTGGCTGTACCGTGTAACTATAGTGCCATGGAACTAACAAAACACCACAGCAAGAATTCTGTGTGAGGAAGTACACGCTGTATTTCTGCTGATTATCTCTAATTAGCTCTTACCAGTTGTTCAGTTTCCTCCATGAGAGGCAGAGCTTTTCTTTTGAGAGTGTTATTACACACGTTTACTAAAATATGTTAAGAAATGGTGCCTCTAATCAGAGTAGCCCAGAGAACCTGTACTGTTTCTGGTGATGTTTAACTGGCTAAGAAAGGTGTTGGTTGTTCTGAGAGGTAAAACCATCAAAATTTGGTGCTAAGCTCTTGTTTACGTATGTATTTAACTTTTTTACTTGAGTAATACGGGAGATCTTACGCTCTTCTGTTGCCATTTTTCAGCTAGATTCTCTTATTTGATAGAACCTTTCCAGAAAAATACACCTTGAGTCCTTAGCTTAAGAATACATGAGAAGACTGTTTTTCGCGATGAGAGAGTAACATGTGCTTCATAAACATTAGCAGTTTTAAAACTTTGTAGGTAGTTTTAAATGGTAGTAAAAGTGAAGGATGTGTTAATCTTTGCTGTGACTGTGCTTGCATGTGGGTGTGTGTGTATTATTAAAATAGTAATTTTTCTGCTCAAGAGCATGCAGATGTCATGGATCTGTTTGGAGGTGCAGATGACATTTCCTCTGGCAGTGATGGAGAAGACAAGCCACCAACTCCAGGACAGCCCATTGTGAGTACACTTGACTTTTGAAATAATGAATATGCCATTCCACTCTTGAAGTGTAGAACACTGAGTTTGATCGTATTTTAGTGAAAAAAGAGTAAGGATGTTAAGGAAGCATTACTGATAATTTTGAACTAACTGAAAGGATTATTGAAGTTTTACCCAGTTAACTCTCCAGCGCTTAGCTGAAAACTGTATGTCAGCTCCCTTGCTATTTCCGTACTGGTTTTGGTCTCTTGAATTGGGACTGGTATCTGAAATCATTTTCAGTGGTACATGAAAATGCTGAATTAAATTGCTTTCACTGAAAATGTGCAAATTCTTTTACTGAAAGCTTCCTTATCTCTGTCTGTGCACATGGATGACATTTCTTTAAGCAAAGCGTAAGTGCTTGTTAGAGCAGCGGTAGCCAGGTAGACTTTTTACAATTATGCTCCTGTTCTCCTTTTTTTTCATTAGGATGAGAATGGACTGAGTCAAGAACAGCAGGAAGAAGAGCCTATTCCAGAGACTAGAATAGAAGTAGAAATACCAAAAGTAAACACAGACTTGGGTAATGATTTGTATTTTGTGAAGCTGCCCAACTTCCTTAGCGTGGAGCCCAGGTAATTGCGTATTAAATATTTGGGTTTTTTAGTGTTTCCCTATATTGCCTATATTGGCCATATTTAAAATGGTTGACACTAAGATCCATGCTTTTGGTTGTGATCAGTCAATGGTAGCATCTGTTGTTACCAAATGAAGTGCTGAGTAATTTTCTTATGAACTTGGGTTTCATCTTGATTGCATAACTTTCTGTCTGTAAAAATACAAACAGAAATACTATTTAATTGAAAGCACATGCTGTCAGTTGAATTTTAATCGTAAGTTCAGACTCTCAGAGGTGTGAAAGCCAAATGCACTGAGTGGTGAAAACTTAATTTTGAATTTTAGAATAAGCCCTTTTTTATTTGTTTGCTCTAAATCTACTATTGTACTACAAAGAGGCTGATTATTAGTTTTCTTACCTAACTCAAGCTAAAGTTCTTTTTCTGTAAATCATAAGGAGAAACAGAATGAATTCTTGTAGTTGTTTGTGCTGTTAGATTTGGCCCTAAAGCCATTTTTGGCACTTTTAGCAAATCGCTGTTAAATCCATCTCTTCGAGTGTTTTGTTAAGCGACTTTATTATGTTGTTGAAGAGGTGTGTCTTGTTAGCTGGTAGCATAGCCTTGTCCCTGTTTTACATTACGTAAATCATTCTTCCCGGCTTCCATGCTACAGAGTGTTTCGGAGGAGAACTGGTGGGAGCCCAGTTCATGGCTGTTAGCAGTGAGAGAAGTCCTGGAGGCCTTTCAGACAGGGCTGACAATAGGACTGGGCAGTAGCAGAGTCTGTCTGTCCCTTCTTGCCCTTACAGAAGCCTGGAAACTGTTAGGAAGGAGGCCAGGGAATGGCCTACCCCCACTTGCTCTCACCCCAGGTTTTTTGAAGGAAGAGGGGAAAACCAATCTCATTTTCCTTTCCTTTTGGTTGGCTTTGAGATTCAAATAAAAAAATTACAAAGATCGTGCTTTTAGAAAATCCCTAATTCACCACATTTATAAGATGATAACTTCTCCTTTTGTTTTCTCCACACAGTATTGTATAGATTTTGTTCCACACTTAACCCTGACCTCATCATCCTGATGCTAAGGAGACAGCATTTTCTGAGGCAGACTTGCTCTCTTTAGCTAGAGCCATTTAGAGAGTCTGAATGTTAAAGTGGCTGTAATTGCAGGTCAGGAAGACACTTGGGTAGGCCTCCTGCGGTGTACAATCAATGCAGTAAATTACATTACTGCAGAAATGGCCGTCTCACAGCCGCAGTGCCTGCTGCTGTGTGCAGTGTATAATTTAAACCTTCCAAGCACCTGTTATTTTGCATAACCCTAGAATAAAATGGGTCAATTCCAAAAGAAAAAAGACTGTATTATGTAATTTATTGCAGACCTTTTGATCCTCAGTATTATGAAGATGAATTTGAAGATGAGGAGATGCTTGATGAAGAGGGTAGAACTAGGTTAAAACTCAAGGTATATTGTTCATTTTCCTTTTCTCTTTTACACTCATCTAGTCACGTTTCTTCAAAGCCTGTTTCAGGTATTCAGAATGGTGTTCTGAGTTTTGGTTCAGATCATGAAAGTGTGGACCAGTCCAGCACTGAGGAAAGTTGATCTATTTTAGGAATAAATTTCAAAAAACTTCACAGCTGCAGTTCACCTGTAACAGCGATACCTTTCACCTTCGTTTCTTTGCATCATGTAGCAAATTATCTAGCCTTTCCAACTTTAATTCTTGACTTACATAGAGTATATTTTACCACAGTATTCCTCACTATGAGTTAGAAAAAGCATTTTGCATTTTTTCCCCCACAGGTAGAAAACACAATACGGTGGCGTATGCGACGAGATGAGGAAGGGAATGAGATCAGAGAGAGTAATGCACGGATAGTCAAATGGTCAGATGGAAGGTTAGTTTGGACTTTTTGCTGTTGAAGACAACTGTTCTTACGGTGAAATGCCGTGGTGTGCAAAATTGGAAGGTCAACAAGCTTTAATGTCGGTTCTGCGCAGCAGAAATCAGTTTAGTCTTAGTGCTTTGTAAATTTTATGCTCTGCTTAGTTTGGATTGAATTACAATTTTTGGCTGTGTTTAAAAAAGAAACATGAAGACATTATCCATTTCTAAATGAGACAAAAAATAGGCTTTAGTAGCTTCATGAAATAACTTCTATATGAATCTCTTTTAAGCATGTCTCTCCACTTGGGCAATGAGGTCTTTGACGTGTACAAGGCGCCTCTACAGGGAGATCACAACCATTTGTTTATCAGACAAGGGACAGGTCTACAAGGACAGGCTGTTTTCAAGACAAAGTTAACCTTCAGGTAAACATGCTATTCTGTGTCAAGTGCTGATGCTACTTCTGCAATGGAGTGTTGTAACTAGGGTACGAAGACTAGAGATGACAGTTCGTAAACCTTCAGATCTTAACTCTTTGATAAGACTGTTCTATTCTCTGAGGTCGGTGTTCTGGTAAGAGCTTTCCTAAATTAGATGACCCAGCTGGGAAGGTTAATGTGCTATTCACTGGAAGATGTAGATGACATGTATTTTTTAATTTTAATTTTTAATTTTAGTTTGTTTTCAAGTGCAAGTCCTCATGTGAGTCAGAAAGAATATTCTTCTTCCTCGAAACTAATCCTTCTGACGCGCAGTTGCATCAAGGTGTCGACTGCATTGTGATATTGATGTGAATTGTGAGGATGATTGTTTAGGCTGGTAATAGGTGGTTGCTGAGAGTGGAGTTAATGTCTCCAGTATCTGTTACAATGCACATAAATAATCAAACAAGAATGATGATGCTTTACTTTTATGCAAATGAAACTTTGAAACCTTGAGTATGCTGGCTCTACTGTTGTCCTTTAAAAATGGATACGTGCCTTGAAGAAGTATTTAACCCGTAGCAATTTTTTAACAGGCCACACTCTACAGATAGTGCCACTCATAGGAAGATGACTCTGTCTCTGGCAGATCGATGTTCAAAGACACAGAAAATTCGTATTTTGCCAATGGCAGGTCGTGATCCAGAGTCTCAGCGCACAGAAATGATTAAGGTATTGTGGCATGAATATTTCTCAAAAAAATTAGAATATTACAGTCTTCACACTGCTGCAAAATTATTTCAGTAGCTACAGTAGAATACAAGGTGCTCTTGAATTGATTTGGTTTTTTCTCCTAAATGTTTGTATATTGCTTCTTGCTGTGGACAGAAAGAAGAGGAGAGATTAAGAGCTTCCATTCGTAGAGAATCTCAGCAGCGACGAATGCGGGAAAAGCAGCATCAGCGCGGTCTGAGTGCAAATTATTTAGAACCTGATCGCTATGATGAAGAGGATGAGGGAGATGATGCAATCAGTCTAGCAGCTATCAAAAACAGATACAAAGGTGGCATCAGAGGTAATAATAAGCCTTAACAGAAAGTAAAGCTGTTAGATGTGATCCATCTGTGTGATTCAGATAGACTGATTTTACAGGAAAGTCCTGGTAAGGACTTCTCGTACATAAGGAGACATGAATTCAGTTTGAATAAATTTATTTTGTTTACTCTGGGGTTAGATTTTGCCAGCTTTTTGTTGGAGTAAATGTAAAAAGAATTATTTTTTGTCTTTTAATTTTTCTCTGTAGAGGAACGTGCTAGGATCTACTCTTCTGACAGTGATGAAGGCTCAGATGAAGACAAAACACAAAGACTACTCAAGGCAAAGAAACTTACTAGTGATGAGGTAAGAAAAGGAGTTTGTTCTTAAGCTACTCATTTTCACTCAGGAACAATTTGTGCACTAAACTTGTTTTTATTTTGAAGCTGAGACTTTTGTAGTTTAATTTTTGCTGTGATGAATGTATTATTTGACTTGGCATGCTTTCCATGGCAATTAATCACCAGTTTCTTACACGCTACATTAGTTCATAGACATGAGTGATTCCCAAAGGAGGTCACTATTGGTACTGCTGATTTAAAGATGGAAAAAATTATGCAGAGTTATGTAAAATTACGTTATCAAAATCATGCAGGGAGTAAGAAGATGGAGGATCAGAATCCTAGTGCAGTTTTGTCTCCTAAGCTACATGGTCCTCTTCTGTTTAGAAACAGCAGAAGCGTTTTCACATAGTATTTCTGCTTTTTACAGAGAAGAGTTCGAACACTGAGTTGAAAAGCGTTAATGTCTGTTGGTAAATAGAATTTAGCCATCACCCAAGTATCATCCTAAACATTAGGCCATGGTCAGGCTAACTGGTAGCTACAGCAGTAGTGCTGTTTCCTCTTCAAAAGTTCTGTTTTATTGATTGATCACTGCAGGGTATAAGCAGATGAATCTTTGTGTAAATCACATCTTGAGGTGTTGGTCATTTTTATAACGTCACTTTTTTGATACAGCAGAATTTCATCAATGGTAGAAGTGGAATCGAGGAGTACATGGACCCTGTCCTACATCGGCTGTTTGTGCCGTCTGTTTGCCTGACCCTTGTTCCTTGTTGCAAATTGCGCCCCTTGGCAGAGAGCTGTAGGACTTTTACCATGTACCTCAGGAAGCTGAAAGAAGAGGGAATTTTGGAATTCATGGCAAGGGGCAATTGATGCTGCCTCGCTGGCCTCCTGCTGCTCTCTTCAAGAGGGAGTTGGGTTGGGCCAGGTGTTTGGCCTCCTTGGTGTCAGCTCCCCGTTAGCTGGCTTTCCTTTGGACGTGCCCAGGTGTGTAGTGCTGTAATCCCGCTGCGGATCAATGCAGCGCAGCCCCGAGCTGCAGCTCTGCCCGCATCTCTCTCTCAGGCCAAGCAGAGCTTAGGAGCGGCAGTTTGGTCACAGTGAGCTCTGCTGCCGTCACCTTCACTCGTGTGGCAGAATAATAAGCACAAACTAACCTAGCTTAATCATAGAATTGTAGAATCATTGTTTACTGGGTTGGAAGGGACCTCAAGGATAATCTAGCCCAACCCTTTTGGGTAAAGAAGGTTCTTATTATTACCTTGTAGGTTATGAGAGATATTTTTATTCTGGTATTCATCTTCCTGTCCTGTTTGACTGTAAATTACATTTTATTTAAAAGTTTATGCCTTTTTATCATGCAGAAGTTTAGAAAAAGATGTCTGAGTAGGTTGGTGTAAGCTAATAGAATATTTTTTAACACTTTATATCACCATTTCCTTTCCGAGTTTATTTTCACTACTGCCCTGAGATTTCTTTCAATTGATTTCCTACAGTCATAGCTAGTGTGCTACTACAGTAGCTGCTGAAGTGGCTAAAACCTTATTCTTGAATTTTGGAGACTTCCCTAATAAAACATCCTTTTCTTAAAAGAGTAATTTTGCACTGTAGCTTGCTACGTGTCCTTTCTAGAGAGTGAATGCGTGTCAGGCTTCTGTAATCACAGCTGCTGAAATTCCAAAGTTGTGTTTAAATAACAGATAGAGGACATAGTCTGACATGTACCTCTGTAGTGTAAGAAATCTCGTTTTTTGGAGTATGTTTGCTCTCATTTGCATTTCTGCACTGTGCTTCCTGTAAACTTCTCGGGAGGCGGGTCCTGTTTCCCTGCTTGTAGGATGTGTGCCACGTTCTGAATGCATGTTCTTGCTCTTGTGACACTACTCTTACACTGTCAGCTGAGTATTTGCTCTAATAGACACTGTAATACAAAGCAGAAGTAACCTTTTTTCTTTTAAAGACATAGATTCTGGCTTTTTATTATTCATGGAGGACAATTTAATATTTAAAAAAACATTGCAGTAATCCTGGAGACAGCCACAGTGAGGCATGTAAACAAAGCTGTAATTTTTGAGCTGTTAGCGTTTGTTAGTAGAAATTGAACTGTTTGTTTGTAAGACACTGTTAGTTGCTAGTTCATGACACAGCAATGCCAGGATTTCAGAGTTCTGATCTATCAGAAGAAAAGGTCTGGTCAGCAGCATTTCTCTGCTGCTCGAGGAGTGTCAGCCTCCATTTTAAAATTACATGACTTAAAGGTAATATTCCCGTCAGGGCCACCGAGGGGTGCTGCAGTATTAGGAAGAAAACGCAGTGATGCAGAACACTAACTTTGCGTCGAGGCCTAGGAACCGCGGTGTTTGTATCCGCACACGTGAAACACGGACTTCCTTGTGCACAGGCTTGCTTTTACGTGCTATCAGTCAACGACACAGCACAAATCTTTGTCCTGATGGCAATTTGTTACCTTTACTGAAAACGTCGATCCATTATTAATACGCTTTGTCACCTCATGGCAAGTAGTTTTACTGTTACTGTAGTTAATGGGGATATTCTGCTAGACAGGAAGATGAATCATTTAACTATAGCCTAGGTGGATTACAAGAGGATGCTTGTTCTGAGGAAGGAGCTGTCGCAGAGATTCCCACTCCTACTAATTTGTTTTCCATGCTTAAAATTCCTTCCTAACTCCCTTACTAACTTAATACGCTAATTTAGAATAAACTGCTTTGAATAAGAAATTATTCATTAGACTTCTGAAACACTAGTAATTCAGTAAAATTCTGAAACTCAATCTTTGCTGCTGCTTAAAATCTAAGTAACGTGTTGCTTACTTTAAAACAAACAAAAAACACCACAGCAAAAAACCAAACTGCAACCAAACAAAATAATAATATGAGAAGTTAGCAAAGCTGCACAAGCTGCCTGAAGGGAAAGCTCCTGAGTGTCGAAAAATTCACTACAAATTCTCGGAATTCCCCAGACCGGTAAGACTTGCTGAGAACGGTGCTGCACATGCCATAAATCCAGATCGTGATGTAAATAACTTCGTGCGGTAGCTCAGTGTGAAGCAGGCACGGTTTCGTGTCCGTGGAGGTAACTGGAGCTGCAGGGCTCTTACAGACCCTCTCAGGTTGGGCTTTGGGACTGCTGACAATGGGAACTGAGCTTCTTCAGGTACTGAGACATAAGCAGTCCTGCATCACGGTAGCACAAAATGGAAAAAATAGAACTTATAATTTTGCTTTTCTTGCAAGAAAGACTTCGAGGTATTCTTGTTGTTCTGAGTTTTTTATTTTAGCTTAAAGTGTGTTTGTTTATTTTTGTTCTTTTTGGCCTTTAGGAAGGTGAACCTTCTGGAAAGAGAAAAGCAGAGGATGATGACAGATCAAGTAAGAAGCATAAGAAATATGTGATCAGTGATGAAGAGGAAGATGATGATGACTAAGGAAGCACAGAAGTTGATTTTTTTTTTAATATATATATATTATATATATATTGTACAGTTCTCTTACAGCAAACATGTACGTAACCATAATGGGGTTATTTTGATAAAGGAAAGTTCCATTTAAGTCTGCGTTACTGGTGTGAATAAAGTTTTTTGACTTCTTTTTTAAGATTTTTCTCTTGGAGCAACAGAATATTCTAATCTTTATAGAGTGGTTTAGTGATAAGTTTGCCTGACAAGGATATGGTGATTTAGCTGCTGTTTGTATGGAAGGGATGGAAGAACGTATGAGTTGGCACAGCACAATTCTGGTTTATTCATAGATATTCCTTATATCCTGTTGACTCTGGACAGTGCATTATTATGCTGGTACATTTTGATGACTGAAAATATTTCTTATCATATTTGAGTAAACTGTGAATTTCCTGAAGTTAGAATGGTTAACTGATTGCAAAAGACATTTCCTTTTCATGCATTGCAGCCCAGAATGAAAATTTGTGTCTTGACTGAGCATTGTTAATAACAATAATAATGGTAATAGGCACATGCTAGTGGTGTGAATGTCAAAGCACTTACTGAAACAAACTACAAAATTTCTACCAGCAGAGAAGAAGGTCTCCTTTAAAAGCTGACATGAACCACAGTGCAAAAATATCCTAATAATAGTGTCTCAATAGTCTCATATAATCCTTATGGTGCTATTTCCTTTTGTTCCTGCTTGGTTTTATAAATAAGTTTGTTTGGCTGGGAAGTCACTGGAGGAGAATGTTCTGAATCATTGCTGCTTTTACACTATTTCTAAACAACTTACTTGATTATGAAAAGTTGTAAAGTGGAGAAGGGCTAGAAGAAACATTTGAACTTCTCCACACTTTGTTTCCAAGATGAAATGCCCCGTACTTAGTTTCCTGTTGGTGAGAGAGCAGTCTGATGGTACCTGGGTTACTTTTCTAACTGACTTTTTGCACAGTCCTACAGAGTGGGAATGCGGCTTGAAAAGAGGTAGCAGAAAGAAACCAGAACTAGCTTAATGCCTCTTTAAACAAAACCACTCACTGATGCTGTGAAAAGTTTATTATGTGGATTTGTGTTATGTGAGATGAAATAAAGTAGCTGATAGTTACGTAAGAAGGACTGTTACATTCTCTCTCCTGCCCAGCTGAATTCTGCTTTTTTATGAAGCCCTAGAAGGGTGCAAGTGCCTCATTGTGAGTGTTTTGCTCTCATGAAATTCCCTGGTTCTTTGACGTGCAGCTTTCAGCCTGCTTTTGTCATCTGTAATTAGGCCAGTAGTTTGACAAAATACTCTACCTCCGTTTCTCCTGCCTGGAGGGTATGGGAAGCGTTCTAGCAGCGGTAAGACAGCTCTGCATGTGCTAATATATTCTGCTGAGCAGCTGACTGCAGTGTAGACATTTGCAAGTAGGAAAACAAAGTGAAAAAGTTTAACTTGGCAGTCTGAGTGCCTGAGAAACTTGGTTTTTTTCTGTAATTAAATTGTTATCTAAGAGTTCCTGTGCCTCTTTAATGTGCAGATAAAACCTAGCTCCATCTGCGGGAATTTTGACCCTGTAATCCTCTTAGTTTTGACCTCTACTGGGAGACTGGTTGTGACATGAGGTTACCTGCTTTCCTGTTGCAACCTACTCAGGAAGGAGCCGGCTGTGGAGAAAGGAGCTCGTCCTCTGTGGGTGTAACCCACTGTACTTGCATGTAAAAGCCTCCCAAATACCTCTTAAACAACAAATTTGGCCGATGGGAACACGCTGCCATTTCATTGGTGATGTGGTTTTTTTATGTCAGTTTAATTAATGTGTTAGCTACTTTTATTCTTGCTACGCTCCAAAGAGTGAAAATGTTTTAATCACTTTCATAGGTTTGATGCTGACTAAGCCTTTACTAAGTGATCCACTTTAGCTCCCCAAAATGAGGCTTTTTGTGGATTACAAAGATGAAAAGAAGTAATTTTTTACACTGTCTTCTTGTGTAAATTGTTCTTTTAAAGCCTTATTTAAACATGGAATTCTAGAAAGTGTTTTCTCAGCTTAAATTGGTTTAACAATAATTTTGTAATTAAAGTCACTTGAATGAGTTTATCCACGGTGTTTTTTAGTTGTGAGTCTAATGTATAGTTTTATTTAACTTGAAGGCAGTTTTTGCTACCCCTTTTCCCAGCCTCCAAGCATTGAGGGAATTACTTGAAATTGTTTTGTTTTACCCAAATTAAAAATACTAAGCCAAAGGAAAGAGACTGTGGATTGAACTGGTTTTACTCTTGTACTGACTGGTCAGAATACTTGTTCCAGAAAGGGCATGATTTGAACAACTTCCAACAAAGAAACATTTCTTTGAAGAGCTGGTACGAAGCTGTGCGAGTACAAGATTTTCTGGCTTGTGGCAGGGTGTAGGGTAAATTCTCTCGCAGCAGTCACTGAAAGCTGTTCTTGGGCTATGTCGCTTGGGTCTTTCAAGTATATCCTTCAAACACTTTCCATTTGTTGGTCTGGAACTTGCTTCCCGGTACTCGGCAGCGTTTCCCGCCAGCTATTTTTCACCAACCTCGCCATGCGGCTTGGCAAGGATTTTGCGTTGCAGCACACCTGATGGATCAGGGAGTGCCCGCTGAAAGGAGCAGCTGCTCATGCAGTCCGTCGCCCTTCTAGCAGCAGGTTTGGCAATAACTAGCCCCGCTCAGCGAGTCAGCTTGCTGATCTGTCCGGATATTTCTTTTCTGCCGAGTTCTCGTGTTTTCTGCCAGGCATGCCTGCAGAGCTGCCTTGCTGGCCACGGGAGCATCGGAGCCAGCTGCGTGAGCTGGTGTGGTCATGACTTGAGGGACATCAGGGAAGGGTGATCTCTGTCAGAGGTAAACGTTGACTTGGCTTTCGTTTGAAAACTGCCCCGGTGCATACAGAAAGCAGTGAATAGTTTTCTGCTGGTGTGCCTGAGCTGGCGCAGTGAAAAGTCAGCTGTGCCTTGACGTGGTGCAAGGAGTAGCAGAGGTGGAGCAGGACGGGTCCTGTGTATGGCAGCAAATTTCAGCTCAGCGCTGATACAAAGCTGCAGCCTGAGGAATGTGTTAAACACGAGATGGTGACTTTCCTATGAAGTCATGAGTATTTATTTCCCAGCCAGCAGGCATGGAGGTTCTCAGGGTTGGCCTGTTCTTTTGTTTAACAGCATTAGGAGTTGTTGAATGTTTAGAGACTGGTACATGGGAATGACTAAGGCGATAGTTTTGTTTCTGATAAATACTCTCTTAATTTTTGCTGTAAGAGGTGTAATGTCTTACACTTGTGAAACGTGGGTAGGCTATTCTAACACTTGCCCGTGACTAATGCCTGCTGTTGCCTAGTGAGGCCCTTTGACTCGAGGTGGGTTTTTTTGATACTTGTCTGGACATGAAAGACTTGCAGAAAAGCTGCAGACTGGTATCGATTATTAGCTTGTATATTTAATTGTTTTAAAACTTGGACAGTCTGAGGAATTGAATAAGCTAAGTAGTTGAGAAAACAAAATGCAGTAAATCTGTGCTGAAATTATTTGCTGATACAAAGTCTTTATTAAAAATAGTCCTTTAGCAAGACTTGGTTTCTTGACGTGTTTGGTGGTTGTTTTTAGAGGATACTTTAATGCTTTAAAAGCCTATGAATCTTAGTTTATTGGGCTTATATTTGGAAGAAATCAGTTATTAAAGTGGAAGCTTCACTTCAGAAGGTGGTTTTTGTTGTGGTCTGGATTTTTTTTCCTTTGACGCTTAGTCTTGAAGAAATGAGAGGTGGTAGAGCCAGTTTACCCGTGAACACAACTTCCTGTCTCTGGATTATGTTGAAATTTCCTGGGAAGCAGTAGCATTCATGTATCATTTGTCATGGAATCATATCCATGTTGTATTCTTTATTTATTGTAAATTAAAGATTAAAAAAATTATAAAGCAGTGGAAATATTAGCTAACATACCTTCTTAAAATAACTGGAAAATGCCAAAATCCCAGTTGTGCAATCTAAAACTGAACCTGGGCAGCTCACAAATTTCCAAATTCTCCTTTCTTGCAAGCAAGTTAATCTATGTTGGTTCAAGGGAAACTGCTAATTTAGACTCTGAAAGGCATCCTTATGTAAATGAAGATAGATCCTTTACATTTTTCTTAGAGGATACTTTGTTTTATATTAACAGTAACACGACTTATTACCCCTTTTCCATACCCATCTTTCTACACTATGTCAGATCAGTAATTTTTCTTTTCAAATGATTTTTCTGTGTTATTTTTCTCAGTACAGGTTTTTCTGGTGATTAGGGAAGGAAACAAGAATATTCTTCCTCTGGAAAAAAATGTAAAATACCTACTGTCATTTTGAGAAGCACAATAACCAATACCGAGGTCGCGGGTTCGATTTCCGCTCGGTCCCCATGTGTTGCCTGGTCTAGTCGAGAGGCACATAACAGGGAGATTGGACTAGATGATCTCTAAGGTCCCTTCCAGCATAGGCCATTCTATGATTCTATGATTTTACAGCTTCATGTCTGATGATGAAACAAGAGGCTTAAATAACAAGGACAAAAATAATAGAGCATTAGCTTACTGACTGAAAATGTTGCCTGTTGTTCCTCCCAACAGAGGTGTGAATTGCCTTGGGATGTAGATGTTGTTCCTCTTTTCTTCATGGAATTTATACCAGTGTTTTATTGAACGTAGACAGTCTAATGGAAGAACCTTGTGGTTTTTATAGAAATGTAAATTTTGGCCCAAATATGTTTGGATTCTTAAATCACCCTTCTGAAAATGACCAGTGCACGTTCTTATGTTGGGACTAACTACATTTAGATCAGCCTAGTGGGAGAACACAGGATACGGATCAAACTCTGGCAGTACCTACAGTAAAGGCATTTGATCCCATAGCAACTTTCTGTATTTCAAAAAGAGTTAAACTGATGAAGGCTAATCCGTCAAATTATAGTTTCTGGAAAGTATGTAGGTTTTGTAACAGTCCAGCTATGTATAAATAGTCTAATCTAGCTAAGGTGTACGTTGCTGTGGTCTGTATGGAACAATGAATGGAAATCGGAGGGGAAGAAGTCAGCAAGTTGACTCGAGAGGCCCGTGGTTTTTAAGGAGGGTTGGCACTTTCAGAAGTATTTGAGCTTATGGTGAAGGACAGCCAATCC